AAGGCAGACATACTGAAAAACAGCAAAAATACTCTTCCCTCTCCTTCTTCTGAAGCAGACAATGCTTTCAGTCTATGTGGCTGAAAAAGCAAGACAGAGGCTGTGCTGAGGAAGAGATAGCATACAGTGCTAAGATGATGGGACTACAGTCCAAGTAAAGCATCTTGTGGTGTGAGAAAAAATAGATGCATCAGCCCTCAAGGTTTGAGTCAAACTCCATTGAGGTTGATGGAAAGCTTTCCATTCATGTGAGTGGAATAAATGAATGATTCATGACATACATTGTTCAGATGAGCAGTTCCCCAAGACAAGAATGAATTAGAAGGTGAAGGCTCATAATGTGCATGAAGTGTTTCTTAGATACAGTGAACACAACAGGAAGCCTTTGATCTTCAAAATAACTATTACCTTACCTTCAACAGTGTAGAGCACATGCACAGTCCATCGGATGTGTACACTGTAAGCCCTCGTCTCTGTTATTATGCTGGTTTCACTTGAGCCACAAAAATGAGACACAAAATGGCAGGGTTGAGAAATGCTGGGTGAAAGTAGGACAGAAGCACAGGTCAGGACATCGTTTATGAAACATTGCTCTTCTGGCTTCTGCAATAATCAGATTGGCCTAGCATTCATTTTTTCACCTTTTTTTTCCCCTACATTAGGCAATTCAATGCATCCTGTAACCAATCCAACAGATAACTGAAGGACTTCTAGGCATTTGAATGCATGGGATTCATCAGGACTGCTCACATGTCAGAAGTAACACCAACCACTGATGTTTTGAAATTTTATGCAGAAAAGAAAGCAGCTATTAGCAACACAAGGATGGGTTTGTGGCTCTCATTGCTACACGTAGTAAAAGTAAAGTGCTTACAGCTGCTAGAGGTAGCATGATTAGTGAATATTCCTTTCCTCCTTTGTTGACTAATCCAGCCAAATCCACCAATGCCTCAAATTGGGTACAGACACTGTTTTCCTGATAAGTGCATGTTTCCTCGGGCAATGCTAGTATTGAAAGGTTCCATTCAGATTTTGTGTTCTTGCACTCATATTATGTCTACCTCATGGTGACCATTCAAACTTTTATTTGTTCACTTCCCTGTTTTACTTCTCTAGCTATTTTGAGTATACCGTAAGAAACCCAGTTTTCAAAAAGCTTGAGAGACTTTATCTTGAGCATTAGTCTTCAGTGTCAATTGTGCCTACACGCTTTTGAAAGATGCTCATGAAGTTATTTATGTAACTGCAATACAAATACTTCTATCAAATTTACCACAACCCATGAGCTACAAATTCCACTTGAATTATTCTGTAAATCTCAATTACTGGGGTTATAATTTTCCTAAATCCATATGCTAGTGGATGAATGTTTGATAAACTGAAATGTTAATATCTTTGAAATTTTTATAATGGAAGCGGTGTGAAAATACCCAGCCCATCTTATAAAACTCCTTATACTCCTATTTCTGTATTCAAGAATTCATATTAAAAAAATGAAGAAATTTTAGTGCTAGTCTTCTTCCACTTAAGCCTCTTTTTGGAGAAAACCATTTAAAAATAATAAAATAAAACAAAATAACCTATGTGACAATTAGGAACTTGTTGGGATTCCATTTACATATCACTAATGATTTATTTTTTAAATTGGATCTCCTGGAATTAGTTAATCATTTACTTCTAGATACATACAAGATAGATACTGCATAGATGCATGCAAGAATTATTCAGATTACTTCTGAGTTCACAGATTTTGTTGGAAAATGCAGTTTTACCAAAATGCCATAATAGGATTTTGGTTATTTTTAGTCAGAAAATGAATCATTAAAAAGAAATCTGTTGAAATATTCATTAAAAAAAAAAAAAAATTAAAAAAATGTCAGCCTGTTCTCAATCAGGCAAAAAATGATTTCAGGATATCTAAACTCTCATGAAGTTGAAAGTGTGTTTTCCAGCCAGCTTTAATTAAAATTTATTAAACATATCCAGTTATGAAATGAAACCTAAAATAAGAAAGGTGTCCAGATTCACTGGTGGCCTTCTATCATGTGCTTTTTAGAGCCTTTAGGACAGGCTTAATTCGGTTTCATTGGATGGCTGAAGTGACCCAATATAGCCATTGTTCTCGGGGAGATCAATTGAAAGCCACTGCATCTTGTTCTTCCGAAGGATAGGAGAGAGTAGAGGATGATTTATGTTCACCAGACCATGGAGAAGAGAATCATTCTGCCATTGGCAGAGAAGAGGATTAATAGGACTTCTGGCCCCAGGTGCAGGAGTACGTTTTAATAAACCAAATAAAATAATCAACAGTATTGAAGTTTAGAGCTTCTTCTACCTTTCATATTTCTTCTACCTTTTTGAGATAGGAAAATGTTAGATTGACCTCTGGACATACAGTACCTCATCTTTACAGCATCTGGCCTCAACTCTTTTTCCAGGTCAGTTCTTTGGTTTTCAATGCCATTGCCAGTCCTGATCTCAACTGTGAATACTCACTGGAAAAAAATGAGATTCCACAGTAGCTGGTAGTGCAGAATAAAAGATGTGATCAGAAGCAGGAAGATACCTCTTCCTGGACTACAAAAGGAGAATAAGCAGAACCCTCTTAAGACATGATACTACCCAGGTCTATTTAAAACTGATCATTCTGAAGGACAAGTCACTAATTTATGTGGTTTGCAAAGGCTGAATGTAAATGAGATTAGGAAGGCAGAACTGGCAAACCTGAACCAGATGGTAGCCAGTGGTGGATTTTAAGAGACCTTGGATATGCAGTGTAATTCCCTAACAACAGTACGGTTTTGCATCACCTGACAGAAATAAGCCTGAAATTGTAAGGAAACTATCCTGGTCTGTGATCTTTATGTTGTGATGACTTTTTTTTCTCTGGTGAAGGGTTGAGCTGGCAGGCTATAAGAGCTACCACACATACTACCTGAGGGCATTTGAGCAGTGGGTTCCTTTGCACTGGTGAATTTAACATAACAAGAGAAAGAATAACAGTTATACAGTGGAACTCATATGTCTATTGCAGTCTGCTTTCTATAATGCATGACTGCAATGCGAAATTCTCCATTAAGCTTACTGTTGTTCTATCTGGGACTCTAAGAGAAAAGCAAGCAAATAAAAGAATACAGTGCAAGGCTAAGTAAAACTGAGGATTACACTAAGGCAATAAAAATTAAAAATCCACCTACCCTGCGGTGTATACTTGCATTTAGGTGTCTTCATAAGACATATCTGCCTGTATCACTGCAAATCTGTTAGGTTTTTTGATGTTTTCTTCATATAATTTAATAACGTGATGTGGAAAATAACCTAATGCAAAAGTAGTGAGAGGTAGAAAGCCATGTAATAAAAGAAGAAAGAATGGCATCTTTGCCCGCTCCTTTTACAGTGGCAAGTTGATGAAATCAATGTCTAGTGTTCAAACTATGAAAAGGATTGGAAAAGAATGACAAAGTTTCTTGATTCCTTCAGGTAATATTTAAAGACACTGGAATGTATTGGAGTTTTTATATCTCAGGAACAAGGACCTCTACAACCATGTATGTGAAAATTAGCAAGAAGGAAAAAGAATAGAGCTATTCAACTTCAGATGAGCATTCTGGCCTCAAGCTCACCATTACTTGATTTGTTCATGTTTGAACAAGGTTAGATATCCATGGACAGAAGAACAGAGAAAGATTTTAAGCTTGGCAAAAAACAAAAAAACAAACAAAAAAAAACAACTGGTGTGTGTGACTTGGCTGAACAGTATTGGCTGATTGGCAAAAGATCTGGAATTAGATGGGTTCCAGGGTTGAAATGGCAGGAAGCCTTGAGTGAAATGAAAACGTTTGGCAGTGGAGTCAGAATCAAAAATATGTTCCAAGGTTTCTGCAACTGGATTTTTGCAACTGGAGCCGTGGGTCAGACAAGAAGATTAGCCTAAGATCTTGTCTACATGGGAAAAGGACTGGTTGTGCTGAAATTATGATACAACTATGGTTTGGCTGCTCATTTTCCCAAAGTAAACAAATCCTTAGAAAGGCAAAGAAATCATCATGAGAAAGACCCAAGTTTGGCTGGGCTTATCAATCAGACTGGACTATGGTTGTCTTGGAGCTAGTTAGTCTGAAGATGGCTTTCCGTCCTGCTTGTTGGGATAGACCAAGGAAAACAAATTTTGACAGATGGACATGTTAGTGAGGAAGCAAGTCCATCTGGCCTATGAACGCTGAGGCAAAAACTGCACATTTCACAGGAATGGCAGTGGACATCTTCTATGACTCACACTTCTTCTCCCTGTGCTCTTAAGTACTCATGCCCAGGGGACAAAGAACAAACGAAGAATTTAACTTAAGGAAAGAGGAGGATGTTTGAATAAACCTGTGGAATACTAAAGCATTGTGAATCAATGTTTGGTCACAGCAATTACATAATTTATGTAAAAAAACTGCTTAGCATCAGCCACATAATCTAGGGAGTGTCAAACCAAGTTGGGAAGGACATTTAGACCGCTACACCTCCTCACCAGGAAGCCACACTTCAGTCGGTATGTCAAAGGATTTTTGGTACCATGAAATCACATAGAGCTTGATTTTTTCATTGAAGGTACTGAAATTTGTGATGAGCAAGCTAAGGCAATTAATCATTCAGTACATTAATTTCAGGAACAATTAAGTAGGTAGGCAAACTAATTAATTTATTGGAGTCCCTATGTTTTTTCCAGTGTGCTATGAGTTCTTGTGCAGGCAGTTCCCACCTGCAGCTTGGAAGTTGTCAAGAGGGAAAATAGATATCATCACAGCTCTGGACTTTCTCACCTGGAGGGCACAAGAAACACTTTGAAATTAGGGAATAAAAACTTCAGAGTGATCCTGCTGAAATGATCAAAAGAGAAACAGTTCAAAATGTGGGGCAAGCTCTAAAGCTGATGATTAAGTTAGAAGGTGAAGAATGACAATTTAAGAACTTATTGAGATGAATGGGAAGGTACAAACCTCTTGGAGCTGTTAGTCTAGTCTCTCTGCAGACACAGAGGAGGTACCTGCATCAGCTGGTGTTTGAGTTACATTTATCAGAATTACCTTTCTGAAGACTGGAAACACATTATGCAACATGCAGACTTGGACCTTGGAGTACAACTGGTCATCAGGGAGAAGCTTCCAGAGAAGACAGCACCTGCAGCAAAAAACACCACCAAAGAAAAGCACAGACAAGCAGCCACAATAATGATAAGCCAGTCTAGAGTCAGGGAGCAAATTTCAATGCAAATTAGACTGAACTGGATCTAACTGCAGCACAGACGGGATTATGACCCTACATACATAATCCACCAACTTTTCTTTCTAAAGTGCTGCAAACTTCATGCTAACTTCCACTTTTTAATCCAAATATGATTACTACTAATATGAATACTACATATATGAATACTACTAATAATTACAAATATGATTATTTTCCTCAAGTTATTAATTTCTCTGTGTCTGTTTCGCAAGCATTTGGCTTGATTACCTTTGCTACAATTTCTGCTTTGCTATATTTCCTGATATCCACAATTTCTACTTCAACCTTTCACATACACTCTTGCTAAACATCAGCCTGCCATTCCAGCCATATCTCAGTGTTTTCCTAAATCTCTTTCTCTGGTTGCCACTTAGGATCATGTCAAATTCAAACTTCTATTTTTTTTTCTTTCTCTCCCCAGCTCTTCTCTTTTGCCTTTCCCTCCTTCCTCCTTCCCTCCTGTCCTCTTCCTCCTTCCCCTTTTCTCTTTCCCTTCCTCTCTAAACATCACATTTATTTTCTTAGGCACTTATATTCTTTCTCCCTACCCCTTCTTTATTTTTAAGGACCAGACATTGCTGAACTACTGCTCTTCCTTTCTGCTTGCAGTACATTATGAGGAGGACCAGATAAGTGGAAAATACCTGTTGAACTAAGCGCTATACATCTGTCATAACAACCTCTTCTACTTGCCCATTTAAAAGCATTCTCCTTTTACATATTCTTTTGTTTTCTTTCCCAAGGCTTTCATTATGATACATTTTCCACAAGAAATTTTCTATCTTGTTAAGTATGTTTATGTACATGTGTATGTAAAGATTTCAAGACCCAGGGCAAAAATCATGCTAACGTAATATAACTAACATATCTGTTACATCTCTGCTCAATCGTATCACTTCTCATTACATTCCATGTCAAGTTTTGATGCCTGGCATGTTTTACTATTAAAATAGTAAGTACTAGCTTGATTGCAGTACTATCTTTTGTATGTCTACACAGAAAAGAGTACCACCCACTTGCAGTTCTCAGATTTTCAGATAAATTAGTTCATTACTGAAGAAATGACGGATTTTTTCCCTACCATCTCCTTTTGAAATAATTCAAATATTAATGTATTAATTGGACAGGTGGCATTTACACAAAGACTGATATGTATAAATAATTGTTACCTTTCTGGAGACAGAATGGGTTGCCGAAATGTTTTTTGTAATTATATGTGGGAATTTTTTTTTCCAAGTATATTGGTGCTCTTTATGGGTTTCCTTTTATGTTCTTCTTCATTTTTCTTTTCTTTTCTTTTTTTCTTTTGGTGTGAGTGTCTTACCTTCTCCCAGTTAACATGATCTACCCAGTCACCTTGACTTTGAAGACTAAAACGTAGACTGGATTTCCATAAAGGTGCTTGAAATTTCTAATACTGAAATGGAGCTGTCTAAATGGAATCAAAATACACCCAGACATTTCCACAAATGAATGGGCGAACTCAGGACAAATTAGAACGGCTATAAGTTATGAAATATGTTTTGAACTCTACACAATAGCACATCTTCCTACATATGCGTTTAACTTTCATGATAAAATGACTGCCCACTACTGACTAGGTCATTACTTAGCATACAACACTGTAAACAAGAATTCACACTACAAATGGTATCTCCTCAATTTGTGAGAACGCTACAGCCAGCTGTAAAGATAAAACTGGAAACAATGTCTGTTTTGTAAATGAACCATATTCATATAGATGCAATAGTATCGAAGAAGAAAGGCTCCCTGGAAGTACAGAGTGTTGAAATAAATGAATGCGGAGAGAAACTCAGTAAAATGCTTAAAACGTAGGAAATCAAGGTGGGCACTAGGGAACTAGATAGCTCTAGAAAGTCGAAAGGAGTAGAAGAAAATAAATGTGAATATCAAAAATAGATTATCGTTCCATGAAACATCAGTGTATCACAGTGAAAGTATAAATGGAGAGAAACACATAATTTAAATAAATTACACCTGGAGGTAAAGAGAAAGTACCTAAAATAATTGGTAAAGATTATTGATTAAATTAGTTTCAAGAATGAGTCAGGCAGAGGTTTGAATTAACAGTATATCCACTGAAATCAAAGAAGACAACCAAAACTAGTTGAGGATTTGGCTGATCGTGTGGAGTTGTGGCATGGAAAAAAAAATGTGCCATAAATACGAAGAATTAGAACAAATTCAGTCTTTGAACAGACAGAAATAGAAAGCAGACAGTTGAGGAAGACCTTCATCTTCTCTAAGACCCAAACTTAAGATCATGATAAAAGTCTTCAACTGTTTTTATTGAAACGTTTCCAAATTAACAATAGCAATAACAAGCTCTTGAATAGGAAGGGTGTGCCGAACACAAATGCTGTGTTTCGTGGAATAAGATAGTGTTGGTATGTACTTGAGCAGTGTTCAATTTTCTGCAATGTGCATCCCTATACTCACAGGGAAAATGAATTGCAATTGACCCACACATACAACTGGGACTTCAGCAAAATCTGAGGAAGAAACAACTTCATTAGGAAATAAACTGTAAGCTGGAGTAGTTCAAAAGTAGGAGATAAAATGTATTGTTTCCTTTCTATACCTTGAGAAGCATGCAAGATGGGAAATATTCTATGCCTGAAATGCTTCCATGGGAAATGAAAATACCTACTGGGCTTGCTTCAAAAAATGAAACTTGGGCTAAATTTGTAATGTATCAATAAAAATGTCATCAAACTGCATATCCTAGACAGATTATTCAGCGCTACCAAGCACTTCCCTACAAAGCAAGAGATGGCCTTGCTCAATTTTATAGTGGGTCTACAAAAATTAGATATTGGAAATACTGTCTAGGAAGTGGAACTCTAATCTACTGCAAGCTGTATATTACATGGGTTGAATAGGACATATGGAATAAAAATTATTTGACTGGCACTTGAGAGATGAAGTTTTAAACACATTGAAGTGTTAGAAAGAGAAATCAAGAGATGCAAGAATTGTGTTTAGATCTTAAAATACATATATATAATGAAAAGAAGGAAAAGGAAAATCTGACATTTTTCAAGCATATGCAAGTAGGAATAGCTTTGTACTGAATCACATACACCTAATACATGTAGGGAGCGCATTGGAAAATGACCAGTAAACATACCCAGAGACCATTTATACCAGATGGGCAAATTCAAAACTATTGCACAAATCTTTCAGTCTCTATCTCTTCTGAAGACAAAAACTGTTTCTTTCGTGAAGTCTTGTCACCAGACAGCACAATATAATGTTGGGATATAATGTAGCTATAGTAAGCATCAGGCAGTTGTCATCCAGAAGATCAAATGTGGTAAAGTGACTGCAGTTTCAATCTCATTGACTCCCTCTAAAATCATGCAGAAGTTGAATGAAATCCAGCTGTGTCTCTGGAAGGACCAAATTTCATAGAATTTGATCTGCATTTATAGCAAAGAATATTTTGCTTCTAAAGATTCCAAAAGTGCCAAGTGACTTTATTTCACCTTCATGCTCATTTTATTTTTTTTTATTTTTTAGTAAGTAAGAAATAAAACAGGTCAGAATACACCTTCAGTGTCTTAGAAAAGTTTTATCACTGTAATTATGTGAAATTTTTTTTTACCTCAGATCAGTGTGTTGCCTATTGTCTGGTGGTATCCAGAACAAGATTCTGATTGACTGCATTTTATTCTTCTTCTGCTAGATCAAGTTGATCATTTCAAAGAGAATACACACACAAAATTCTAAACATCTGGGGCCATTTGTGATTCATGTTTCAGTTGCTAAGGATGTGCTTTGTTTGGTTCCAAATCTTAATACTTTTTTTTTTTTTTTTTTTTTTTTTTGCTAACTCCAATGGGAATTTAACTGGGCTCTAAATACAAGGATTTCTGCTGCCTGCACTCTAGGCATGTTCTGAGACTGGAGAAGTAATGTTCTGTAGTACTCAACAGATTCACCTGGATGTTTACTGTAGCCATCCAGCACCATACGCCCATTTCTCTTGGCTCATACCTAATCAAAAGGTTTTCAAGCAAGAGTGGTTCTCTTTGTAAAGCATCTTATTGGCACTTTGTCCTGGTGTAGTTATTAAAAGAAGTTGACAGTAGACACAAAAAATGTCCATAAATTTGCACCTGACAACTGAATATTCTGCCATTGCAGTCTACACATCTGTTAGATAATAAAGTTCCAAAACCCAATGAAACAAGTTCTCACCAGCACACTTCTCTGAACTTTCCTGCCAACAAAAGGTCTATCTTTCTACAGGTCTGCAGTGTGCAGTTTTCTGAGTTGGGCTTGCAGATAACAAAGTGATCTTATAGTGGGCAGCTTGCTCTTGGAGATTTCAGTCTGAAATCTGACAAAAATAAAATGCTTCACATTTTATTAGTAGGCTGAAAGTTTTAGGTTTTAATATAAGAGTCTTCTGATGGGTTCAAGGTAGCTTGGCATTGGATTATTTGCCTGTAAACCCTCTCAAATGCACTGTCCTCTAAAAGACTGCTGGCTAAAAGAAAATTCACTGAGTAGATATCTCTTGTCTTTCATAGATTGGAGTAGGATTTCTCTGCTTTCAACCAAGCCATTTCTCCTTGAAGTTCTTCACAATAAGTAAACCTTTAGAGGTTAAAAGAAGTAAGTGAGTTGCCAAGCTAAAGGTCAGAATGGCACATTTCTAATCTTCTTAGATAGGAGAGAAAAATTCCCTCAATAGCTGCAGAACATAATATTCTAGAGAGTGATATTCAGTTCTCCAGTGAGTTGATACAATGCTCACTTCTTACATAAGGACTGCCTTGGTCTGGTAGCGTAAAATAGCCATGAAGAAGTGAAGAATAAATAGGAAGTTCACTCAAACTCGTTGCAGGAGAAGGAAGAAAATCTTCCAAATCTGGGGAGAAAGAAAACAGCCACTTTCAGTTCTGTGAGAGGACACGAACAACAGTGCCTCACTGTTGATTATGTATAAAGAAGTATCCTTTCAGAGTCTTATTTTCCACACTGCTTTCCCGATGTCTCCTGCTCACTGAGACTGTTCACTGTCCATGCTAAATGTACCACCTCCCCACCCTGAGGAACTAATTAGAGCCTATGGATAAATGCGCTTTGCAAAAAGAGATAAAAATTTTAAAAAAATAAATAAATGAAAAGGAAAGCAGAAAGGCATCATCAAGAGGTCTGCTTGCCACTGTGCCAGCAGCCTTTCTTCTGCAGGGCAGCCCCCATAGGCTTCCATTGCTGCGGAACTGAGATGAGGGTGTCAGCCAACCTGAACCGTTGGAGGGATCTGGCCTGGGGATGAGGCACTTGGACCCAGGTCGGTCAGATTTCCTGGGTAGGCATGTGAAGTCCGAGAAGCTGGAAACCGCTTCCTCCCCTCCTTTCCCTGACCACACGGTGGAACACCATCTACAACCCCAGGTCGGGGGAGGACAGAGGGACTTAATTGCTTTGTACTACTGTTGTTTCCCAGAACATGTCTTCCTGAGTCCTCAGCCAAAACGGCCTTGGGACATCAATGCGGGCAGAGGCCAACATCCTCTCTCGCCCCCCCTCCACTCCCCCCCCTCCCCCTCCCCACCCCGCCACGAGCTCCGTCCCGGCTTTCCCACCGTTTCCCGCAGCGGGAGCCACCGCCGCCTTTGTCCTCACCCCGATGTCCCCGAGCCCCGCACATCGGCACCGGCAGAGAGGCGAACCGTCCGCGCGCCCCCGAGCGGGACTTCTGGCTCGCAAAGGCCATTAGGGCACCGGGGCGAGCCGGGGATCTGCCCCGCAGCAAACCCCCGTCCGGCGAGGGTCCTGCGCCCCCGTACTTGCCCTCCCCACCGCTCCAAGACCCGGCGGTCAGTAGCCCACAAAACCCAAAAGTCCGTGGGCGCGGAGGACTTTCCCCGCTCTTTCCTTTTTAATTTGGTGGGCTTTCCCAGCCTAAGCGTGTCCACCTCGGGCAGCGCTCGGAGAACGGGGAGGGGGGAGGCTGAAAGTCGGCGGGAGGAAGTTATGGACCAGCAGACCCCTGGGGAGGAGCCCCCCGCCCCCTTCTCCCCGCCGCTGCCCTCCGGCGCCGGGGTTCCTCGGGCCGCCGTGGCCTCCTCCCCGGCTCTCTCCCGCGTGGGTGGCCCCGGGTGGGCGCCCCGGCACCCGTGCTGCCCGCCGGGCACGGAGCTCCCCGCGGGACCGGCGCAGCGGGGGACCGGCCGCCGCCAAAGAACGGGGGGAGAGCTCAGGGTATCGTTTCCAAGCTGCCTCCGCGAAGACACATTTATTTACTCGTTTATTGTTTACTTATCTTATTTTTGTTCTTTGTTTTATCTCATTTCATTTTACCCTCTTCTGTTTTACAGTTCTTTTTTTTTTTTTTTCTTTTTTTTTTTTAAAAATTTTTTATTTATTTATTTATTTATTTATTTATTTTTCTCCCAAGGTTTGATACCCACTGCTCCCAAAGAATCCTCATTTTGGAATGAGATTATTGTTTCCCTAGAGGGTGGCTGGTCAGAAGTCAGGTGTTTTGGGGTTTGTGGTTGTGGGGTTGTTCTATTTCCTTTTTTTCTTTTTTTTTTTCTTTTTTTTTTTTCCTTTTTTTTTTTTTCTTTTTCTTTTTAATTTAAAACGTAATGCTGAGAGACAAAGGTAAATTATCTGCCTCGGCGTTGATGGTACGTCAAAGATTGCAAAGCCCAGGCGCTTTATTCCTGCGAAGACGATGATTTATAGAAAATTGCAGGCAGAACACATGCACATTCTGGCAGCCGTAAAGACAGTCCCTCCCTTTTCCTTAATGTTCTTTTATCAGCTTCTTAGGAGGTGTCCGCTTCATTTGTCTGCATGAAACCAGTAGTCTTACTAGGAATCTCCAGTTCTGATGTTTTTTTTTTCCCCTTTTCCTTAAGAAGGATTCTCTAAATCCAACAGTGCTCCTTCTGCCCAGATATTATCCTTCCTCCAATTTCTCACAGCACTTGTTTGGGGCGAGGGGGGAGCAGGGGGGAGCGGAAAGAGGAGAGGAGGAGGGAGAAGATCTTTCTCGTGTTTAGTGATTAACTTGCACGGCTCAAAGAAAGAGAAGGTTTAATGGGAGAGATCCTGCTTGTGTGCTTTGTGCTCACGGCGGTCTTGTGGATGGAAAGAACGGAGAGAGCATGAGTTTAATGTTTGACTAGTACCTGGGCGACCGATTTTTGTTATTTTATTTTATTGCTATCGTTAGCTTTTCTGCATTTGGTCTTCAGCTGAGCTGGGAGAGTTCAGACAATGAAGTTCTAACATGCCTGACCTCTCCCAGAGCCAGTAAAATCTGGACTCCTTTAAGAAGATCATCTCGGCTTCACCACTCTCATAAAACTTCCTCGGAGCAGGGGAGGGATCTCCCCCTCCATCTGAACCGGAGCTCTGTGGTTCTAGTCTCTCTTCCACCCATGCAAATTGCAGTGCTTGAGGGCTCGAGAAATCCCAGTGATGTTCCAATACCAGCCATGCCCTTGCGCTCAAATTGATTTTGCCTCATTCCCGTGCATTGATTTTCTGAGTCTGCACATAACTCCTAATCCCCCCCACCCCTCTACCCCCCTCCATGGTAGGCATAACCCTAGAAAGAATCTGACCTGGTGTGGTGGAGCTTGGAGGGCTGGGGGGGGGGGGAGGGGGGTCGCGCAAAAGAAGGAGTTAAGCACAGTGCTTAATAGAACCAGGCTAAATATAAATGCAGACTACAGCAGCTTTGTCTTTGCTGGCTTGCCTTCATCACCAAGATACCTTCCTTTGTGAGCCTTGATCGTTTCTTTCCTCTGCTTTAAATAATCTGTCACAAAAGAGCAGACGACTAGGTGTTGGAAGGCACAAAACTTATTTTAAGTGGGATTATTTATTTTATTTTGCACGTCTCACCAATGTAGGAAGTGATTTGGTGCTCGGTAGTACAAGCTCTCTTTTCTCCTAGATGCTTGTGAGAAATAAAAAACCTGGAGATGACTGTCTTTATTTCCGGGAGTAGACTTCAAAATACGTGCCAGAAATGGACAATTCGAGTCTCCTTTCTCCACATCAAATGCGAGCTGGAAGGGGGATTAAAAACCAACCACGTGGTAGATCTGGTTTTATACTTTGCAACCTCCAGCTCCATTTATGTTCTTTACCCTGCTCAGGGAAGATTAGTCTCTAGATGGATGTGTCTGAGGGATCACCTCAGGGGCAGATCTGCATGCAGAAACCGGTTTTTGCCATGGCTGGAAGAAAGCTATGACCCAGCAGAGCGCTCCATCCCAGCGGCTCCCCCAGCATCGCAGGAGCTGCTGAGCACTCCTGGGCAGGAAGCTTTGTGAAGGCAACAGCTTGGAAGGGGAAGCTCTTCAGATCTTTCCCCCTCCTTCTCCTCCTCCCTGGCCCGTGAGTGATTCAGTGTCCCAAACCTTAACTTTTTGTTACCACCTTCCTCCTCTTAATCTCCTTCATCTTCAACACCGCCTCCTCTATCACTACCATCTTCTCCTCCATCTGTCTGCCTCCTGGATCTCTCTTGTTTGCTCGCTCTCCCCCCTCCTCTTCCACCTCCCTCCTTCTCTTTCTTCTTGCCTTTTCCTCCTCTCTTTTCTTCTCGTTTCTTTCTCCTTTTCCTCCTCTTCCCCTACACGTTGTTGTTGTTAGAAAGGATTCTTGCACCCCCTGGTGCTCTTGCGTTTTGTGTGGTAGGAGAGGAGATTGTCTTCTTTCTCTCTCTCCCTCTGGTTGCTCATTATTCAGAGAGAGACACAGAGGGTGAGTGAGAGAGAGAGAGAGAGACGGATATCTCAGGTCATCTGCAGCTGCAGCAAACCAGTGAAGGAGAGAGAGAGAGGGAGAGAGAGGGGGGGAAAGCAGGGAAAGATGGCGATCCTCCATTGCTGAGACCTGGCAAGGAGCACATGAGACTCACAAAACAACTTCCACAACAATAACAAGAAGAAGAGCTAGGCAGAGAGGAAGAGGAGAGGAGACAGCAGCAAGAGCAGCAGTGCCGGGACGCTCCTGTAAGTTCTCGCAATTAAAACCCATCTCCGGTTTGGCATTGGAGAGATCATCTCTCATGTGTGTATCTATATACCTCTTTTTGTTTGGTCTTCTCTCTCTTTCTTTCTCTCCACCACCTTCCTCTGAAACCCATTCATTCGGCCAACGGAGGAAGGAGGAGGAAAGAAAGGAAGAAAAAAAAAGAGGAGAGGGAGCGAGAGAGCGGGGTGTTTTGTTTGAGAGAAGTCTCTTGCATGGAGGAGGAGAAGAGGAGGAGGTGCTGGTGGTGGTGGTGGTGGTGGTGGTGGGAGGAGGAGGAAGGCGGTTAATTAATTTTTTGTTGTTGCATTAAAGGGGGGGTATGGGGAGATAAGTGAGATATCAACCGAGCTTTCGGGGCGGGGGGTGCCCGTGTGGCTATGTGTGTGTGTGCGAGGTCTGGATGGTGCTGTGCGTGTGGACTTGGATCAGAGACGGGAGAGACACGGAGGAGAGAAAAGCTCCGTGCTGGCACGACCCAGGCAATCGGGTGACCTCTTTCTTCCTTTCTTTCTTTCTCTCCCTCTCTCCCCCTCTCCCTCTCCCCGTCCCCTCGCTGCCCCCGTCTCGCCGCTGGTCCCTCACCGGCGGTGCTGCCCCCGTCGCCGCGCTCCTGGAGTTGGGATGCGGGGGTCCCCGGCGGCGCGGGGCTGGGGGGCTGCTGTGCCCGCAGGAGGCTGCTCGCAGGAGGACAGCGTTCGGCTGGAGAGCAGGAGCCATTACACACGCTTCTGCTCTCCTTTGAGAGAAAGAGAGCGAGAAGGGAAGAAAGGAATGGGAAGGAGCCCACTTCTTCTCGCTCACTTCTCCGACGTCCCTACCTTTTAACCAGGCAAGGGAGAAGGAGCTTTCTCCCCTGTCCCTTTCTCCACCACCCGGAGCAGCTTTCTCCCTATCTCTCCCCCTCTTTCCCTTTCTTTATCTCCCTGTCCTCCATTTGCAAGCTGTCTGCTTTGGTTCCAGTCCAGGCTCCACAACACAAAGCTTCTCCTCGCTCTCGCTCACATGCACACACACAGTCCACAGGGCTCTTTATGTCTTCTGGAGTAACCTTCTTCTTACCCCCCCCCCCCCCTCTCCCCAGCCCCCCTCCCGTCCTCCTGGCTTTGTGGTTTCTATTCTCCACACAGAGAGATCCTCCTGGAGCTTCATGTGGTTGTGATCTGATAGGATTCCTCCCCCCCTCACATCCCTCTTTTGGGGGAGAAACGGGAAAAGTTTCATTCGTTTTTCTGGTGTTTGGAAGGAGAAAGACCTTCAAGTTTGAGAGCTTTCTGCAGCTGCTTTTGTGTGTGTGTCTGTGGGGGTCTGTTTGTCTCATGAAGCTGCTTGCATGTCTAAGAGGAAGTGACTAGTTTGGCAGAGAGCTGTGATCTGAGTCAGGTAAGCCATGTCATGTTCTCTAGCTCCACCAGAAAATGGAGGAGAGAGAGAGTAGACAAAGCTGAGATGGGAACTGCTCCTAACATCGTGGATGCCTATCCATGTTTTGAAGCTTTGCTGGCAGAAGCTGGCTTAATCATGATTTTTTCCCCTAGGGTTTCTTCAGTTTTTTCAATGTACAACATTGTGATGGGTCTTCTCTCTGACTTCATGCTATCAGGAAATGAGGATTGGAGGAAATTGTTCAGATTCTCCTTCACACAGAGAAACACATCCTTAGGCTTTTTTGCTCTTATGCTTTCATGTGGAG